TCTAACCCATCTATTCTTGATGATCATAAAAACACTACCTAATCTTAGCCCTACAAACAGCATCTGAAACCGGTGGTGAGGATGATTATGCTTCACTAAATCGACTTGAAGCTACACACTTAGGTCAACTTGAAGTAAACGGGACCACAGAATGGTGCGAGCAGGTAAATGGGCGATATGAAGTGGGATTGAGAGAAAGAGATTCAGCACTAGAAACTAGGAAAAAATAGGAGCTTTCATTTATCACATTGATAAGCTGTAATTCTGTACTAAGGATGGCTTCTCTCACGATGCCAGAGAAACACTAGAATGCACAAAGTCAACTGTCCGATGCTGGAAATCTGGATGAATACCGTGGCAGAAGATACAGGACAAGGTATCTTTAACAAGGCCCCTTTGTAGTCACGACCAATTTGTGAAAACAAGGTCAGACCAACACTACAGCCAAAGGAGACTGTAACCAAACAAAAGGCCGCACTCTATTGTTCTTCATATCTACAATATTTAATTAAGCCTTTCCTTATTTGTCATACTTTCCTTGTAACTCGTAAGCGCTTACCCTAATTTTGGACCGCGCTATGTGCATCTATGCTAAATGAGCCTGATCGAAAGCACTTTGTTTTCTATTGAAGTGCATTTTCTTTTTTTGTCTATGAACTATCACTCCACGGTATTTTTAACTAAAAAATGTCTTTTTAACTCTCCAAAAATCTCTATTTCGAAAAATTTAACTGATTATCCAAAACGATTTGGGTAAGCACACTCGGCAAATAAAATACTGTTTTTGTCAGACTAGTTTCCAATTTTTTGTTTGAATTTCCCCTTTAAATAAAATAACCATGAAACTTTCTGATAATATTTTTAATTCTGGGTTTTAGCACTATTGAACTATGGGCTATGTCGGATGTGGGAATTAATTTCTAATGGAGAAACCTATGGAATATTTTAATTATGGAATCTTAAACTTTGCCTTTGGCGCCTTTCACAAATTGAATACATCATCGAGATCGCCATATCCCGCACCGCCCAATTATGGTCTGTTTAGAGAGGTCAATATGCAACTCCATCAACATGATTTACCCCTCACTTCAAGGATTTTGCCGATCTGAGCATAGTAAATATTACCACCACGTCCTAGCTATGGGTTGACTATGTTATAAGGAAGAATGGCTCCAATTCTTTAATAGGAAGCCTTTCTGATTGGTTACCGATCCTACTCTAATATTTATACAGGTGCCTTAGACACTTCGAAATTGATAATATATATAATAACAACTAGGCTGATTTAGATAGTAGATATGAATACCAAGATGGTGTGGCCTTCTGTTTGGTCACAGTCTCCTTTAGCTTTATAGTGTTGGTTCGGATTTGTTTTCGCAATTTTTCTGAGTGTCAGGGAGACCTTGTGGAACGTACATAGTACAGTGTCCTCTTCCACAGTATTCGTGATTTCCAGCATTGGATCATTGGCTGGGTACATTCCCAAACGTTTCACAGGCATCGCAGTCGGCGTCGTCAGTGAAAGGCGCCATCGTAAGAACAGAGTTACACCTTATCATTTGTAATTTTGATAAGTTGTAACTCTGTGCTTACGATGGAGCCTCTCACTGACGATGCCGGCAAAATGTTTGGGAATATAATCAGCCAATCGTCCAATGATTTCGTATCCGCGCAACTGATGAATTTTTCCATATAAATCATGGAGCACCAATGCTAACTTATCATATGTATTGAATTGAACTAATGTGATTTATACCATATTAACGTTATTGGATCATCCTTAACCCAAATGCAAAGTCCAAATTAATTGCTAAACAATTTTTTATTAGTACTTAATCCTTTTTTCACAAAACCTTGTGCTAGGTGACATTTTTTGCTTTCACAGTGAATCATAATCACTGGGATTGCATTTTTAATGTTGTTCCGTCAACCTAACCTATATCTCTCCTTTCACTTTTACCTAGTCATATTCGCATGGCCTCCTATCTCCCAACGGTCGTAGATAAATTGGCTTTTCTCTACACTACATCCCAATTGTTGGTGAGGCTACATAACTAAATTACGACGTGATACCGCGCGTACAGACTGGCTGACAGGCTGTCACCTGACGAGTTGCTTCTCAGCGCCCCGTTTATTTGCTACAAGGGCAATCGGCTAAGGTCTTCTGGTCGATCGATCGAGCATAGCTTTTCTGCTGTCGTCTTATCAACAGCTCATTCTCTATGGGCCTTCTCGATCGCTCTTAACTGCTAGCCGGATTATGGGCCATCTTCGTTTGCCTCTTGTTGAAATTCTTCTAATTGGCATTTGCTCTGATTAACGGAACAAGAAAAGGGCACCCGAACAGGCCGATCTTTGCGATCATTGCAGCTCAGTCTCCATCCTCATCTTCCCCGATCTTCAAATTAGCAGGCTATTCGGAGGAAGTAAATTGGATGTGCTTGTCATGCCTTTTCTGTTTTTTCCTCCTAAAGATGGTTGTACCTACTTTCTTGCAGAACTTCTTGCCTTGCGAGGGGGTTGCTTTTCACTGGCTTCCATTAAAGCTGGTTCGCGCCTCTCCATTCGTCTGTAAATTTTTACCTTAGCTCAGAAATAGGTTGATTTTATTATCATTTGTCACAGTTATTTTACGCCATCTTCGTTGACTTTATCAATGCATCTCTCTCTCATTCAGTTACAAGCACACACGTGCAATAGTTTGATAAGTTGCGTGGAAAGATATTCCCGCTATCAAATGACATGTATTTTTATGTAATAGCTATTTCATACTTTTTCGTGGTCGTGCCCATTTATACTGATCTCACTTCTCATACCTTTGGTCACTTCCTTCAGCCTATCCCTCCCTGTTATAGTCCACATTTTCGTCCTTCATTTTTCCCATGAGCTCTACTAATTGGGATGATAGTTTTTTGCTGTATGTAATTCTTTTAACTGAATTTTGGGTTTAACGTTGAGCCAATTGGACTTTCATTTAATTCAGCGCTTTATAC